ATGTTTGGGTGCAGTCGGACCGAGGTATCAGATCGAGGTCGGTTCGGAGAGGGTGCCCTGATGTTCTCGGGGCTTGTGCTGGATATCCCTTGTGCGTCCTGGGGGAGAGCACCCTCGAGTGGTCCTGGGGCTTGGGGCGTTTTGGCCGGCGGAGGGCCTCATGTTCTTGAAGGGCGTTCGTCTGGCCAAGGTCCGACTGTACTCGCCCACGGCAGGAATCCGTTGGAAAGCACCACAAGGAGCCCCCACAGGGAAGCATCATAAAAGAAAAGCCCGCCGGAAAGCGCCATTCAGAGATTCGATTGGAAAGCCCCACAACCGGAACCCATTTGGAAGCACCACCAAGAGATTCGATGGGACAACCTCGCAACAGGAATCAGTTGGAAAACACTGCAACGTCATTCTATTGGACACCGTCACACTGGGAATCCTTTGGAAACACCACGAAGGGGATTCTAGGGGAAATCCGCACAAAAGGTAATCCTTTGGGAAGCGGCAACACAGGGAATTCCTCTGGGGCTCTCAACAGGAAACCGTTGGACAACACTCTAAAGTGATTCCATGGGGGAACCGCACAAAAGGGAGTTCATTGGGAAGCACCACAGCGGATCATTCTCCCATCCACCACCCAACAAATAGTGAACACACCACAGCTTTTTGGTTGGGGGGGCAGCGAGAAAAAATAGCAGAGGGAGGAGGAATAATCAATAACCAGTGCTCCTTCTGGGAGGGCGAGGAGGACGACCAGGAGTTAATTGTGCGAGGATGAGGAGGAGGAACAGGAGGAGAGAGAAGGAGGAGAAAGAGGACGAGGAGGAAGAGGAGTAGGAAGAGGAAGGATGCGATAACCTTAGGAAAAGCCCACAATCGGAATCCATTGGGAAGCGCCACCAAGAGATTAGATTGGAAAGCCTCGCAACAGGAGCCAGTTGGAAAGCACCACAACGGCATTCTATTGGAATTCGTCACAGTGGGAATCCTTTTGGTATCACCAGAAAGGAGATTCGATTGGAAATCTTCACACGAGGAATCCTTTGCAAAGCACCAACATCATTGGAACGCACCACAGGATTTTCCTTCCCCCAAACAAAAATAGCATGATGACCCAGTCTGGTTTTTATATACTTATCTTGGGGGGGGGACAATCCAGAAACAAATAACAGGAGGAGGAGGAGGAGGAGGACACAACAAAAAAAAGTGCTCCTTCTTGGGAGGGAGAGGAGGACGACTAGGAGTTGTGCGAGGATGAGGGGGACGAGGAAGAGGAGGAAAGAACAGGAGTAGAAAGAGGAGGATGAGGAGGAAGAGGAGGAGGAAGAGGAGGAAGAGAAGGAAGGATGCGATTACCGTAGGAAAGCCGTACGAAAACACCATCCGAAAAGGCGAGGGCCGCCACAATCCCCCGTTCTCGAGGAGGAGGAGGAGGAGGAAGAGGAGGAGGAGGGAGGAGGGAGGAGGGAGGAGGGAGGAGGGAGAAGGGAGAAGGGAAGAGGGAGGAGGGAGGGTGGGAGGGAGGGAGGGAGGGAGGGAGGGAGGAGGAGGAGGAGGAGGAGGAGGAGGAGGAGAAAGAGGAGGAGAAGGCCCTCCTGGCTCAGCACGGCCCATGAGGTCCCACATCTCGTCCCAAGGCGCCCCCAGAGGTCGCCCAAAAAGGCGGAAAAGGGTCCAAGAGGGCTCCCAGACGGCCCAAGAGGGCCGAACAAAAATATCCAGATGGCGCTAAGACGGCCCCAAGAGAGCTCCAAGAGGGCCCCAAGAGGCTCGCAACAGACTCCCAAGGGGGCCCGAAGGGGCGGTGTGTGTGAGAGAGAGAGAGAGAGTGTGTGTGTGTGTGTGTGTGTGTGTGTGTGTGTGTATGTGTGTGTTGCTCGTTCGTTACTCGGCCCGCGAGTGTGGACGCCCTCTGGCGGTGCGTGCATGCACTACTGGAACAGCCCGGGCGGCCTCTTCACCGGCTCGAAGGTCCGTCGATGCTCAGGGCGCGTGTCGGCCCAGTGTGTGTTTGCCCCGCTCAGCTCCGTCGATAGCACGCAGCCCGTGCTGGCCCTCACTAGCTGAGCCGCCCGCGTCGTTTTGGAAGGCTTCGGTGGACAAACGCACGTTGGCGCTAACACACGTTCTGGGGATCATCGACTCGAAGAATCAAAAAACAACATAAACATAATTTCTCCGCCCGGATGTCTTGGCTCGGGGCTGGACCCCCCTGGCAGCGCCTCCGGCGCCGCCCCTGGCGTGCTCCGGGCACCAGCGCCGATCCAAGAAATCCGAGTGGCCCTCCGAGAAATTTGGTCATGCAGTTTTTTTATTATTCGAGCCCTGGACCCTAATTATCTTTCTGCGTCATTTTTCGAGCCGGATCGATCTGTGAGGGTCCCGGAGCCCGAAGCAGGGCGGGCGAGGAAGCTGCAGCGCCAGCACCCGAGGGTTGCCTGTTTCGTCTCGACAGGTCCACGCCACCGCCTCCGTCGTCTTCCACTTCCACGTGCTGTCCTTCGCCACCTCGGGCGGCGCCGCGCTGCTGGCCCTCGGGGGCCTCGGCGCGCTGCTGCGCTACCGCTGCCGGCGCTTGGGGCCGTGGCGGCGGGCGTCGGAGCTCGTGGCGCCCGCGCTGGAGTCCCTGAAGGCGCACGAGGACGCGGCCGCGCACGTGAGGAGGAGGAGGAGGAGGAGGAGGAGGAGGAGGAGGAGGAGGAGGAGGAGGAGGAGGAGGAGGAGGAGGAGGAGGAGGAGGAGGAGGGGGGTTCTGGCTTCGGGGCGCGGGGTTTGGGACGGTTTTTTGTCCTCCTCCTCCTCCTCCGATTCGCATCACGTGACGGCTCCAAGTCGCCGTACTGCGGCATGTGAAGCCAGCGCACGGGACGGCTTCGGGACGCTTCGGGGCGCGGGGCTCGGGACGGTTTCTTGGTCCTTCTCGGCCTCCCTGGGCCGTTTCCCGGCCCCGGGGCCATGAGAAACGGGTCCAGGGTGAAAAGCTCCACCAAAGGCCACGACATGCTCGAGCTACTCTTAAGCATCGGCCTCGTACTCCTGCGCCCCCCCAGGTGCGCTTCCCGCGCAGCCCCTCCGCCATGGTGCCTGTCCACGGCCGTGCGCTCCGTGTGCGCCGCAGGTGAGAGGCGGCGCATCTCGCACGATATGGAGGAGACCCACTACGGACACCAGCGGGACGACGTGCACCCACAGCAGGCAACGCTGCACGACATGGACCAGGACCAGCGTACTCTCATTCCCGCTTTTTACGGCGGAGAGACAGCCAAGTTCATTGGATGGAACCCGTTCTCTCTAACAGTTTTTCCAGGCCGAATGGAAGCCATCAGCTATGAGTTCCGACAGCAGTATGGATTATTATTCCCTGGTGCACATGTGCGGCAAAAAGCAAATCTCAGTCATCACCGAGAAGATACTACACATCATTTCTGGGTCCACTGGGGATGGAAACGTAGCACACACACACCACTTCAGCATGCGGGTGCGCCGTGGCCATTAACAAGCACAGATTTCGACCATTTCACGGAAGCTACGCGAACATACCTAGTGAAACAGGCCTGGTGGAACCAATCTCTCGACGAGCAGCTCACCGAGGCCTTCTACAGGCGCGACCTTTCTCGAGTTGCAGAGCTCAGCCGGCTCCGTGCAAGCGCCCGCGCTGGCCCGAAGAAGCGCACCTACCTCGCCTTCCCCAGTGTACGACCGACGGCTGCCCACTACACAGATGCCCCGGGCAAAGATGGCATCGACGGCGGCCTTACAGCGGCCCCTGTACACATTAGTATTTACATCGAAAACGAAAAGGCCATCGAGACTTTCCACAATCGTGACGAGAATGATATACAGCCTGTCGGCGAGTACCGCGTGAACCCAACGGAATCTCTTCTCGACGCAGCCGCGGACCTGGAGGCTATGAGCAAGCGCATATGGCACACCAAACACAGAACATATTCGCTCATTTGGTCATGGCCAATTGAACTCGCGAGTATGCTCATCTTCTCCAAGTACCTCAGCCGACCTGGACTCCCCCGCAGCGGCATTGGATATGCACCGACGGACTATCAATATACAGTACATGCCCCCCGACACGGTCTCGGACTGGAAGTGGCGACTGCGGACCGAAACGCATCGGATCAATCAGCCAAACACAAGACTCGACGGCCTGATCAACGCCGATTGAATCTCGACGATGATCATTGCCACGCATCGAAGGCTATGCTCCTCACACATTTGCTTGGGCACGTACGCGATTCGGCAGCCCTTCCTGTGCAGTCATTTACCTTTCAGACCGTGGCAATTGCAAAGACAGACGAAGAACCGCGAGGAGATCCAGTCCATGACATGATTTGAATCACTGTCTCAGGATGTTGCACGTTTTCTGTCCTTTCTGGCGGCTGTATCTGCGAAGTGGGATGATCGATTTCGGCAGTACTTGCCAACCCACTCCGTGGGCATATGGGGGCATCCGTGCCCGCAGACGTGAGTCCTTAATGATGTTGAGTTGGATCGCTACGTACAAGCTCCGCAAGGCACACGTTCCCCACTTCGTGAAAAGTTACGATATGCGGAACGCCTTCGGCGCAGGCAGCACGCGACGACTACTCGCAGCCCATCTAGTGCGTCCTGAGGACGAACACTACGAGGATATGCTTACACAACACGGGGCGAGGGCTACAATGAGAATTGACGCCGGCGACGCGATACTTGGCCTTCGCCCCCAGAGCGGAGGCCGCATGGGCGACAGCAAGAAGCTCGAGCTCTTCATGGAATCCTTCTGTCCACTGATCATCAAATGGGATCAAAAGCTTACATGTATACTTGGAGACGGCATGGCAGCAACCAACCCCATCACGGGCAACGCACATCGTATTGATATGGGTGCTTAATACTGACGATATTATCCGTATTCTCATCATTCCTGACGGCACACTACGACGGGCGCTTGCCAATGATTGCATTGACGTCTCCATATCGAATACCAAGTTGCAGAACGGCGAGTACGGCCAAAACGTCGATAAGCAGGAGGCCCTTGTACGACTGGCTACCAATGCAGCTGCAAAGAAGGCTGAGCAGCAGCTCGGCGGCACATGCATGACGAACGTTATCCGCCTCGGCGCCTGCATCCACGTGACTGGCAACAACGCGCGCGAACTCGAGGAGCGAATCCGCGCCTGCAATATTGGCTGGACACGGGTGGTTATTTTTGACATCGCCCACGCCAAGACGCTGCAAAAGACTCGTCTTCCTCGTGGACATCGCGAGCCGCGCGTGGTCAGGCCTGGATGCCCTGGTCCTGCAGCGCGCAGAGACAGCGCGCATCGACGCAAGCCTGGCGGAAAAAAAGATGCGCTGCGTGCTGCGCGGAGAAGCTCGCGATGCTGATGACGACGGCACACACTCAACATTGACTACTATAAAAGTGTTCATCGTCTGGAACGTCGCCCCCCCCCCCCCCCACACACATCTCTGGAGCTCTGCGCGCGAGTGGCTCGAGCGGTGGCAAACCGTCAGTTCCGACGCCCATCATCGCGACCAGTTCTCGGCAGTTTTTTTTCGGACGTTGCATGATTGAAGACCAGGTTGCTGCTCGGGGCCTGCCTACTTCTGCTCCTACTCTGCTGCCGAACGGGGCCCTCAACATCGACCCATCTGCGCGCCCTTGGGCCCGCCAGCTCCGACAGGACCTTCAGAGTGCCCTTGAAGCCCCTCAGACGAACTGTCAGCCACTCGGGGCATCAACAGCAGCCCCCAGGAGGTTTTCAATCATTCCGAGGTTCAGGGGGCCTCCCAAAATATCGACTTCGGGTATCTCCGCCAGGCATGCGTATCTTAGTATTTGGCCCCTCCCGAGTACCTCCACATGCCCTCGAATGAGCCCCTTCCGGAGACCCCGACGGCGACCCGGAGGGCCCGAACCCGTTCGTCTGCAACATCAAGGACCGCACAAGGACATTTCGCACGTTTTCGGCACTTCTCACGCGCCAGACATCGGCCGCCCTGCCAGGACATGGAGCTCCTACCATGCCACCGACCATCACGATTCGTAACCGATGCCTAGTGTGCGACAACGCACTGGCTCTATCCGCCATTGCCAACGCCACCATGGACGACCTTGGATAGAAGAATCTGTTTCATTGATCGCACATTGCACGCGCGCGCGCGTGGGTTCCGTCTACCAGTGCCAGATGCCCCCCTGGAACGCACTCGTCCTAATCCAGATTGCCAGCGGGGGCGTCGTGACCCCGAGGCCCTCCGGGGACATTTGCGCGAGCGCATCCTTCCGTCGCCACGCGGCCCCTGGCTCAAGAGACTTCACGTTTCGCGCAAGTTGCGCAAGGACGTGTTCATGCACAATTTCCGCGACAGTTACGTCAGGCTGTTTGGGAGCCCGCTAGCAGCGCATTCTTTAGACGAGAAGTCCGCCTCGCCGCAGACAGACTGCTTGGAGGCGCACCTCGCGCCGCTGCTGCAGTGGCCACTGCGCGGACTCGGCGAACCATTGTGACGCGCGCGCCCACGCGTGCAGAGTTGGGCACGTCTACACTCGCAGCCTGCCAGACGGCCAGCTCGAGTGCACTCGCCTCTACGCCTGCCCTGCCTCAGCCACTTGTGCCACCCGGTCGCGCGCTGCAAGATGGCGGAGCAGGCCCAGGCACGCAAGCCTCGAGCAGCGCGGAGAGGCCCCCACTGCCATTACCCGAGTCTGGGAACTATGGCAGTGGATCGAAGGGCGGCGAACGACCAGCGCAGCGACCACGGAAGGCTCGCAGCCAGGGGGGGGGCCCTGCGGCTTCAACAGCACCAGCGCCTCAGCCACCAGCAGCAGAGGCAGCAGAGGACGCGCGGATGGAGGGCGAAGAGGCCGAGGAGGAAGGGGGCCGACGGCGACGCCGCAGAGGCGGCAGACGAGCTCACAGAGGCCAACACACCGACAAGAACTGGACGAGCAAGGACAACCACCTCCACTCGCTGCTCACGACACTCACGACGTTGACATTGCAGAATACAAAGCGGATCAGACTGATGATGTGCGCAGTGGCAGACACGTTCACAATGGCGATCACCCACATTATCATCAGCCCGGAAGAGCTGGGGGGCTTTCACGAGAGGGTCAACGGCCTGCGATCGGCCGAGGACAATGGAGGTCTCAAACGCTTGGGACCTCCGACCCCCGCACTGGCCCTAGCTATGCTCGAGGGCCTTCAGGCGTGCGAGATGGGTGGCCGAGTACGGACACAAGTGGACGAGTGCCTCGAGAAATGCCAGCCGAAGGACCAGGATATCGAACCGACAACCGTCATGAACCATATCAGTGACCAAGTGCACTTCATCAGAGTCGAGAAGACAGCAGACCCCAACATCGCCAAGGTAGTGCTGGGAATCAAAGACTGGGACGGCCGCCCCATGCTCCTAGATGGTCTTCAGGCCGAGGGACAGACGTCCCATCACCTGGGGCCCGCCCCAGTGGGATGGCTGGAAGAGGAGATCTCGGTCTGGCTGGAGCACTATCGGAGGACCGCGTCATAACCTTTGTCCAGGGCGAGACTCTCCCATCATGTACACCAGCACCGACGCCAACTCAGGCGCCATCTCCTTCTGCGTCAGGCCACATCACCATGACTGCAGATCCGGCAATATGGGAAGCCGACGATGATGCCGCAGACTTTATTTTCCGGAGGAGATGACCCGCCCTCAGCTCGTGATCAACGCCAGTTTCAGGGTTTCTTTCGACGTGCAATGCTTGGTCGCCCGCCAAGTGCGCGCGGCGCCGTTGCAGCGCGCGGCCTTTGACGGCGCGAGGCAGCTTTCCAATTCGAAGGCGCTGCAGCGGCGAGCAAGACATGTATAATCTTTTCGAGTGAGCTGGCGGTGTCGCCCGAGGCCGTGGCGTCGCGTGGCATGGCCTTCTCACTCCCACTCGTGGCAGCGACCATCAGTACAATCACAGTCTGTAAAAATATTGTTGCCCCCGTGCCGTCGGACAAAAAAAACTCCACCAGATAGACCCTGGGAGGGGCCAGGGGACCGACTTTGAGCGGAGATCCCAGGCAGCTACTCTCAGCCACGCGCGGACTGGGGGGGGAGGGGGCAAGGTTGCTTAGAGCTTAGAGGCACCCCTGCACCTTCGAAGGCGCGGGCCTTGTCTGCAGATGTAGGGCTGGCGCGCTCTGAGACGCAGCCTCCTTCCAAAACGCCTTCCGCCCCCCCCCCCCCTACCCCCAATGTGCGCGCCGCCAAAAGACTGGGCGCGAGCTCCCTGAAGGCGCACGGGGACTCATAGGTGCCATCCCTCACGGGGCCTTTCCCTCAGCTTTCCCTCAGGGGAGGGTAAGGTTCCCACACCGCTACCCTTCCCGCGTTTTCGCCTTTTTGGTCTTCGGAGGCCCTCGTCGCCGCCGCTGGATTCGCATCGCAACTCTGGTCAGAGCACGTCCCAGGGGAGGTCCAGGAGGAGGAGGAGGAGGTGCCCCTGAAGGCGCGAGCTCAACGGTGTTTGGGCGATTATGTGGACAGTTTTCGTTTTGCCTGCGGTTTGCAGCAAGGGTGGAACAGAGACAAATCTGGCACGAATTTTGTCGGGCAAGTACCCCCACCCGTCGGGGCCACCGAAAGCAGTGAGAGATGCGGTGCGCAGCCGGTACCAGCAGTAATGCGAGCCAGTGCGAGACCTTCGACGTCCCTCCTCTGGAATATCCCTGGAATATCCTCCTCCTCCTCCTCCTCATCCTCCTCCTCCTCCTCCTCCTCCTCCTCCTCCTCCTCCTGCTCCCCCTCCAGCAAAGGGAACGGAATGCCCTCCTCGTCGTCGTCCTCCTCCTCCTCCTCCTCCTCCTGCCCCCCCTCCTCCAGCAGCGGGAGCGGAATGCCCCGTTCCGCACGCGCCCCTGCGAGGATTACTGGTGCGGCCTGCGCTTCCCGTGCGACCAGATCGCCCAGACATTGCCGCAGGCTCTGCGGGAGCAGAACCCGACCTCCTTCAACGCCATCGTCGCCTGGAGGAAGGTCCTGAAGGAACCCCGCGCCCCGAAGCCAGAACCCCTCCCCCCTCCTCCTCCTCCTCCTCCTTTTCCTCCTCCTCCTCTTCCTCCTCCTCTTCCTCCTCCTCCCCTCCTTCTCCTCCTCCTCCTCCTCCTCCTCCTCCTCCCCCTCCTCTGCCCCCGCCTCCTTCTCCTCCTCCTTCTCCTTCTTTTCTCCTCCACCTCCTCCTCCTCCTTCTTCGCCTCCTCCTCCTCTCCGCAAGCACCCTCGTAACCTTTTCACGTACACACATTCGGGCACGAAGCACACGCAAACACAGATCGACTACATCCTTGTGGATCAACGAGCTCGGCATCTAGTGCTCGACGCGTTTGCATCGTCACTTCCCGACCTCGGATCTGATCACCAAGCCGTGCACCTCCGACTTGCTGTGGACAGCACGAAACACCGACCACCACGACGGAAGAGACGAAAACGCAAACAAGCACGTCACCACCCACCTCGACCTGACGACCCGGATTTCCAACACCGTTTGCGACAGCATCTGTCCAGCGATAACCTACCGCATGACCCAAACGACACATACGCACACACCGAACAAGCGATAACAGCAGCGTACCAAGAGTTCCAGGAGGAACTACAGCAACACCAACACCAGGAAACATACGACAAGGAAGAAGACGACGACGAAGCCACCCGACTCCTTCGAACACTCATCGAGCAACGCAGGAACACACCGCACTCCGACGCAGCAGCCAGAAAATCCCTTAGCAAACGCATCATGCGACAGCACCGGCTTATCAAGAGAGCCCAACGACAGACAGAATCGAATGAGATTGTACGCAACTTCCGAGGCCTCAAAAAGATATCCGGCATCAAGTCCGGAAAAAAACAAAGACTTGATACCAAGCATGGCCACGAAAAACGGCGACAGCCAGACGGACCGCCAAGGCATGGCAGACATCTTCGCCGACTTCTACGAGCAGCTGTACAGACGTTGCGCAGAGGCCAACGTACCTGCAGACGCCCAGCCTCACAGAGCGCAGGAACACGCACAACGTCACGCACACCATGGGATCCCACACTTCACCAAAGAAGAATTGCACCACGCAGTGATACAACTTAAAAGCGGCAAGTGTAAAGACACAGCCGGTATCACCGCGGAGCTACTCAAGGCCGGAGGAGACGTCATCGAATCGCACTTGTTGAAGCTATTCAACGACATTATAACACCTGGACGAGAACCCCCTGAGCAATGGAGACGCACAACAGTTAGAGTCATCTACAAGTCTGGCGATCCGCAACTACCCCAAATCTACAGACCAATAGCCATTATCCCATTACTATACACATTGATGTCTCGACTATTATGTAATCGACTAGAGGCGAACTTCGAGTCTGAACAATCACTTGACCAAGCTGGATTCTGCAAAGGGTCTTGCACAGAAGACCACCTCTTCACCGCGACTTTACTGTACGAGCAGTCATGCGAGTGGCAACTCCCCTGATGGGCCGCTGCAATCGACTTTAAGAAGGCGTTTGACTGCGTTGACCACCAACACCTTTGGAACGCACTTCGACCGCAAAACGTTCCAGACTCTTACATTTCCTTACTGCAGAGCTTCTACAATGACCAGACCGCCACGGTTAAGACCGACGTCAACAGCAGGGAATTCAGCATTCAACGCGGGGTCAAACAAGGTGACCCGCTCAGCTCCTACCTCTTCAACGCGATGCTCGAGCACATCTTCCGGCAGATCAAGCCTTCCTGGGAACAAAAAGGCTTTGGCATCTAACTGGGACACGCCAGGTTTACGCGACTCACCAAATTACGGCTTGCAGACGACGTACTTCTCTTTGCACCGAACTTACGACAACTAAAAGTTATTCTTGCTGACCTCAAGAGAGAAGCCGGGACGTGCGGGCTTGCATTACACCCGGACAACACCAAAATTCTTAGCAGCCTCACCAGACGACAAGTGCGGACCATCACACACACACACCAGCAATGACGGCGACGACATTGAGATCCTCAGCACTGACAAGACAACCAAATACCTCGGCCGCCAGCTCACGTTTCACGACAGCGATTACCACCAAACTGAGCTTATCAACGCAGTTGCGACAGGATGGCGCCGGTTCAACCAGCTCCGCGACGAGCTCACCAGCAAACGATACCCACTACACAGCAGGCTCCGCCTTTTCAACCGAACAGTGACGCCTGCTGTCATGTACGGCTGCGTATCCTGGACGGTGACCAAGGACATGCTTCAAACGCTGACGCGCACTCAACGATGGATGCTGCGACTCATCGTACATACCCCACGACGTCGAGCAGTCCGTAGTAGCACCGCTATCGACAACATTGACAGCACCGAAGCACGGGCGCACGTAGACGATGGAAGCGAAGCCAAGACGAGCTTGGACGACAACGACGACGACAACGAATTGCAAACCGAGGGTGGCGACGACGACTCCGACCTCGAACCCTGGGAAGACTTTATCCGCAGAGCTACGCACACAGCAGCAGATCATGCACAAAGGGCACGCGTAGATGAGTGGACGACGGTGTACTTTCGTCGAAAATGGCGGTGGGCAGGACGAGTCGCAAAGCAATCGTACAAATGGGCCCGACTTGCTGCGACGTGGGAGCCGGACATCCACTACCACCGGCAAGCAGTCCGCAGACAAGGGGGTCAGAGGAAACGTTGGGAAGACGATATTACACATTTTCTGACAGCAAACATGCTTCTCCAACCTGGCAGCGGACGATGGTTTACGATAGCACAAACCAGCGCTCAATGGAACAATCTTGAACAAGCATTCCTACGCCACACACAGCACTGACCGCAAGTCTCACATCTGCAACTGAGGGCCCGGGCCCGCCCGCGCCGGCCTTTCAGGCCCCGCCCCCTGGCGGACTCAGGCGCGCCTCGCCTCGCCTTGCCTCCCCCTCCTCCTTCTCCTCCTCCTCCTTCTCCTCCTCCTCCTCCTCCTCCTCCTCCTCCTCTCCTCCTCTCCCCTCCTCCTACCCCTCCTCCTCCTCCTCCTCCTCCTCCTCTTCCTCCTCCTCCTCCTCCTCCTCCTCCTCCTCCTCAGTGCCGTTTCACCGATCCCGATCCCCATTCCCATCCCCATCCCGATCTCCGCCATCTCACTACCCCAGCTGGGGATGTGCCCTTCGAAGCCCGAAGGGAGCCGCCTATATCCCCATCTCGGGGGTAAATCGGCCAAAGGGGCCCAGGCCACGCCAGTGGGGATAGGGATCGGTTAAACGATGCTCAAAGGATACCGCCGTGTTGATAACAGCCATCAACGCCTATCTGGCTGCCTGCGGCAGTGTCCGCAACCGTGGCAGCGCAACAGCGCAGCAGCGCAGCAGGATGGAGCCCGAGTTCGCGACACGCTTCCGTGCAGTGCCCTGTCTGAATCGGCGCAGGCCTTTGAACACCTCTGCCTTATCCGCAGCTTGATTCGCCTCCTCCTGATTTCTTGTTTTCCTCCCTCTCCTCCCGTTTCCTTCCTGAAGGCATTCCGGAGGCTTTTTTTGTTTTTTGAGGAACCTTGGAGGCATCTATTGGGCTCGTTGGGGGGCCTGTTGGGTCGACTCGGGGCTGTCTGGGGTGTGATGGTTCCCCGAGCTTTCCCGATGAGTCTTGGTTGAACCATCTTGTGGGGTGGCTGGGCGGTTCTTGGGGCCGTCTGGGAGCCGTCGGGATTCTGGCAGTCTTGGGGCCCTATTGGGGCCCTCTTGGGTCCAGCTTTCGCTCCGCAGTGATGCGCGGCGACGGCGAAAAAGGTCAGCGGCTGTCTTTGGCCGTTTGGGTGGCCTGTTGATGCTGTGTAGAGCTTCCCCAAAGCGGATTGCAAGCGAAAGCTATCGGCAGCAGAACGCGATGATTTCCCTGAGGTGTAGACGACTGTATGGCCGCCGTTCCGGAGCAATCCCAGGCCGTCTGAGAGCCAGCAGCGGGGCGAAACGAGGAGACCCGTGCGTCAGGGGAAACAAATATTATGGGGGACGAATTTTGGTGTATGGGATGTGTATATATATATATATATATATATATTCAGATACAGATCTGTGTTCATGGATGCATGGTTGTATGTATGTATGCATGTATGTATGCCTGTCTGTCGGTCTGCCTGTCTGTCTGTCTGTGTGCATGAATGTTTGTATGCATCTGTGTGTATGTGTACGTGTGCTTATGTGTATGTGTGTATGTGTGTATGAGTTCATGTGCGTATGTGTGTATGCGTGTATGTGTATGCGTGTATGTGTGTACGTGTGTCTGTCTGTCTGACTGTCTTGCTGCTTGCATTTACGTATGCATGTATGTGTTGGAACATTATGTTGTACGTATGTACATATAACTATGTATACGTATGTGTATGTGTACTGACATTCGCATGTGTATATGTATGTGTACATGCACATGCTTCTGCATATGTTTTTTACACATATACATGTCTATGTTTATTTATATATATAAGTGTATGAGTATATGCACGTGCATGTATGTGTGTATGGATGTGAGTATGCATGCATGCATGCATACCAGCATGTATGTATGAATGTGTATATAAGTATTGGTGTATGTATGTATGGTAGTATGGATGTATGCTTGCATGTATGTATGTATGTACGTACGTACGTACGTTTGTATGTATGTATGTGTGTCTGTATATGTATGTATGTATGTATGTATGTATGTATGTATGTATGTATGTATGTATGTATGTATGTATGTATGTATGTATGTATGTATGTATGTGTGTGTGTATGTATGTATGTATGTATGTATGTATGTATGTATGTATGTATGTATGTATGTATGTATGTATGTATGTGTGTGTGGATGTATTTGTTGGTCGATGGATGGATGGGTGGATTGATTGATGGATGGATCGATGTAATGCATGTCTGTAATGTATGCATGCATGCACGCATGTCTGCCTGCCTGTCCGTCTGTCCGGCTGTCTGTCTGGCTGTCTGTCTGTCTGTCCGTCTGTTCGGCTGTCTGTCCGGCTGTCTGTCTGGCTGTCCGGCTGTCTGTCTGTCTGTTTGGCTGTCTGTCTGTCTGTCTGTCTGTCTGTCTGTCTGTCTGACGATATGTATGCATGCATGTGTGTGTATGTGTGTGTTCATATGTGTGTGTGTGTGTGTGTGCGACTGCCCCCTTCAGTCCACCCATCTGCTACGCCAGATGGTCATTCGCCTGAGCGTGTCCCGGCCTGGCGAACGGCGACGGTGTCGTCACCTCGCCGCTGGAGGGAGGAGCGCGCGTGTGCTTCGAGGGTGGTGGCCCGGCCCTGGAAGCTGCACCAGGCCCTGCCGGACAACCTCGCGGCTCTACGCCCGGTGGTCATGCCGTGCAGGCACGGCGGCGGGCTTCGTGTGGCTGGACCTGGCGGGCTGGGTGCCCACCAACTTCCCCCTCCGGAACCGCCTGCAGCAGATCGCGTCCAGCCGGGCGTTGCCAGAGGTGCCCCTGGCCCAGGGTGCCTTCAGGATCTCCTCTCGGCGGCGAGCGAAGGCGGGGGGGGGAGAAGGCGGAGGCCCCCTGCGGAAGGCGGCGGGGCTTCTCAGAAGCCCTCCGGCCTCCTGGGACGTTTACTGCGCCTTCGGGGAAGGCGCGAGGAGAATTCTCGGGAGGCCAGGGAACTCCCGAGCCTTCTGAAAGAGGCCTTGTCCTTCTCACCTCCCCCCCTCGCTCGCCGCCGATGGGAGGGAGGCCCCCGCGGCCCCCGGAGCGCTCCCCGCGAGGCAAAGAGCCGTCCGCACGCAGCGGGGGCAGGGGGAGGGGGGAAGGCTGCTCAGAACCCCCCCCCCTGCGTCTTGGAAGGCGCGAGCCTTGTCTGTGGATGTAGGGCCGGCGCCTACGCAGAAGCGGCCTCCTGAGAAGCCTGCCCCCCTCCCCCTGCCCCGTTGTGCGCGCCGCCCAGAGAGGGCCCCGGGGGCTCCCAATGCCAACCAAGGGTCGAGGTCAGGCCCGCGTGCCCGCGCGGGGGGGGGGGGGCGGCCCCTCAGGGCCAAAGCCGGGCGGAGCCTCCTCGCCCACACCGCGCGCCCGCGGTGCCGATCGATGCTGCTGCAGTCGACCCGCAGACGGTAGGTTCGCGTCGTGTCGGCCAGCAGCGACCCCGCCGCCGGCGTTCAACGTTGAACGCCGCCAGCGACCCAGAATCGGTCAATGTTGGACGATCCGACGCTGCGGAGACCGCCGATCGTTCAAGGTTGAAGGATCCCCTTCGGTGTCAGGAGCCAACGCTCAGGTCGGCACGACACGAACCGTCCGTTGGACGGATGATCGACTTCCCAAGGGTGCTCCAATTCTCGCAATAAAAGTGAGGTGGCCACAGCCCTCCCAGACGAGCAACCTTGGATCACCCCTGGACCAGCCACAAAGGGCGGCCTTTGGCCCAGATCCCCGTGGAACCCCCCAAGACAGCTCAAATTAGACCCCCCCAATCAGACCCCCCCTCTTCATGGTTAAATCTGGAGTGCCCTTGCATCCTTGACTCTTCGATCATCTTCGGTCTATCCTCAACCACTCTTGATGGCCAGCCCTATTCGAAAAACCGACTCGAGCGGTAGGTCCTCCTGCCTTGTTTGCTTCTCACCTTTTCCTTGCCGGTGCCGTATCGGATTTCAAGGATCCTTTTTTTTCCGCGCCCGATGTACACGCTTTACATTGTACGACTTGCTTTGCACGGTATACATCGCTCTACTGTTTCCCCTGTGCGGAAAACAATGTTTCACTTTCCATACCCGTTTTTTTCCAGTTGATAGCGGAGCATGTTCGCCCCTGCTTCATTACCACGGCCGCCATGTCCCGCGTTGTTTCTATGGCCATGGTTCCTACCATCCGTCGTTCTACATCGCGACGCCTGCATGAAACGACACTCATGGGTAATCCATGGGTGCGGAAGGGCTGGGCCAACCCGTCCGCAGGAACACCAGGTCGTAATGGTTTACATGCCGCTCTACATCCCACCTTACACCATCCGCCTGGACCAATGGCCGAGAACATGCACAACCTGTAACTCATCAAGGACAACACCAATATATATATATATATATATATATACATTTACCGCTCTGCGACCCATCCCGGGATTGCTCGGACTGTGCGCAGGCAGCTCGCGAACCTCAAACTGTCAGTGCCCCCGCCCGCGGGGGAATCCTCAATTGTTGCGCAGTTGTTCGGCACAGCGTTCACACATGCGGTGTCGTAACCAAATCTCGAACTTCATGGGAGTGTGTCTCGAGAGGCTTGGAAGAAACAGTCAGAGAAGAGGCATCCGGCGATTGCGTTGCGGGTGTCGACGGGGATGCACTGGGGAGCGCGGGGTCTGCGTTTTCAGCCCCCCGAGGCACGACGATTGGGACGCCATCGATCCGAGGCACTGCGCTTTGGGACCCGACCTTTCGCTTTACGCACTCAGACTGGCCAGCCGGGCAGGGTGGGATCTCGATGCGCACGATCCCTAGACGATGGTGCACTGGGCGGTGCTCAGTGACCAAACGACGTGCGAAGAGCATTCTTCGTATTGCGTCGCGGGATGGTTCGGGCACCGCGAGCATTACAATGACGCGACAAAAGCGGACGCCCAATGCATTGACGAGGAGGAGGAGCGCATCCGGGGCAAGTCTCTTCGGCGACTCATGAAGCGCCGGTGGAGGACCCCCGGCCTCCAGCAGCTCTGCGACATGCGGAGGGAGCTACACTCTGGATGGAAGGCCATCGGAGTCGGCACGTGCGACATCGCAAGCTGCATCGCCTGCGTGGACGCAGGTGGTGGCAGCGGCAGCATGCGCCACCTCCGCACCAGGGGACCCGAGCACCAGGCTCGCTTGCCTTTTTTTAGACATGGGTGCGCGAGGTGATGATCTGGTCAGTGGCGAGCTCAGACTTCAACGAGTTTCGCCATGCGGCCCACGTCTCGTCGCGCCTTGCCGGCATGGCGCGCCAGTGCGTGGACGAATGGCCGCCAGCTGTCCTGATCTGGGGAGGTCTCATCAGCGGCAAGGCAGTGCCTCCGACGGCCATGCGCGCAGCTTTGCCGAGCCGTGGGGTCAGCTCAGCGAGGAAGAGCGCGCCTCGGCAGCGTCGGCTCCGATTTGCTTTTCAAGCGACTGCTGCAGGAGCGCATCGAGAACCTCCTAACGAGGTTCGACATCTTCCGCAACCGGGCGCAAGAAGCTGGCCAGCTCATGGTCGGCTGCGAAGGGCTCAGCTTCCTATTGCTGCGCGCCGTTGGCGTGACGAGCGCTCAGCTCACCGTGCCCCTGCAGCAACGCGACATGGCCTGCCCCGCGAACGCTGGGCAGCTCTCCCATGTGACGGGCCAGCTAGGACGCTCTGGTCACGTGATAGAGGGGTCGCCAGGCAACCTCGCCTCGGCGGTCCACTCTGCCCAGGGGCGCGCGTTCTTCGCGGATGCGCCCAGACGGGGGCAGAGATGGTGCGCCATGGGTCCTGCTTCCTTGCGACATGTACCGGGCCCCCCCCATGCGCCGGCCGAGGCCGCGTCTTGAGGCTGCGAGCGCGACTCGACGCTGCTCGCCGCCATCCGCCGCTCATGGGCCCAGCTGTTCGGCTCGAAGGAGACTTTGGCCGTGGGCGGCGAGGGCGGGGTGGCCTCGACGCGCTTCGTGGAGGTGATGAAGAGGGGGGGGGGGGGGGGCAGGTTGACCCGCGCGTTCCGCGCCGGCGCGCTCGCTCCGTCGAGCGGCGCGGGGCCGTGCAGCGACAGGCATTTCGCGCCGCGGAGGCGGAGGTGGAGCGCGAAGGTATTGCGGCGAGTTCCGACTCCACGCTAGCACGCGCCGTCTTTGCCGGCAACGGCCTCGCCCGCGCGGGCGGCGCTGCGCCGTGCAGCGCCGTCTTCGGGCGGCAGCCGCCCGCGCGGCCGCCGCTCGAAGCAGACGGACAGGGCAAGGCGTCCGGCGGCTGCGTCGCTGATGCCGAGCCTCCTGATTGCGGGAAAGTGCGGCCCAGCCGACTGCAGTGGCGCGTCCGAGAGAGTTCTGCAACGCATGATCGAAGCCACGTCGGTCGCGCGCGTCAGCCGTGCCCCCGGGGGGCCCGCGCCGTCGATTCCGGGGGGCCGCTTCATCGTGAGCGACCAGGCGGAAATCCCCCGGCCGCCAAGCGCCGAGGATGCGTCAGGCTGGGCGGGACCCGGCTCGAGGCAGGGTGGCGGCCAAGCACTGTCGAGCCGAGATGGTCAGCAGACAGCGAGACGCCCAGGCTTTCGTCCTTGCCGTCTTCAACTGATGGGCGCCGGCATGGCGCGAGCAGGCTTCGCCTGGGACCGCGCAGAGGACTGCCTGGAGCACGTGGCGCCCGGCTCTGGCCGGGGCCAGGGCCCCCGTCCACTGGAGGGGCGCCGAGAACGCGCAGTTCACCTAGCAGGCGCGACAGCGCGCCCAGAAGTCCACGAAGCCCTGCGCCATTTGCCCCGCATATGCGTTCATCTACCTGACGTTCGCGCCTTGCGACTCATGCGCGGACGGAAATTTGTGGGCAACTGGCCTGTGCGCCCCCGCAGCCTGGCCATCTGGCAATTCCCTCGGGGCCCTGCCGACGCCCGGCAGATCCACCGCGACGGCGTCGCGTTCGACGTCCGCCAGCTCATCGGCGAGCATTGGAAGGATGCTCGCATCATCCATCTTATCTTGGGTGGTGATCCGCTAGGGTGACAGACGCCGGACAGTGCCTGGACGGGGCGCTCTTTGACTGCGTCATTAACGTTTCCGAGGAGTTTGCCAGCGCCGCCGAAGGTGGATCGCCATTAGCCCTGTCGGCTATGCCAGCCGAGACCGGCGGCGACTTCCCCGGCCGCATCCAACAGTTTACGTTGGCAGCTTGGCGCGAAGTCGAGGGGGCAGACGACGTGGCCCAGGAGCTGAGGGGGCTGGAGAGCGCCGACGGCCATCGAGATCTCCGCTGCCGTTGAGCACGCTGCGGCCGACCTGGGCCGCAGGCAGCGCGAGAGGCCCCGGCGCCTCGAGACGCAGCGCCGGCGCCAGAGCATCCGCGCGCAGCGCCGCAATTACTTGCGCGCGGCCTCCTTGGACGGCCACGCCGCGCTAGGGGAGGAGGGCGGTAGTGGGTGGTCATGCGTAGGTGTATATTGGTCCAAGGTGCGCGAGGCATACCTGAGCTTCAACGAGGCTGCTCCCAGCGACTGCGTCGCCGACCCTCCTCAGACAGCTGCGCTCGACATTTACGCCGCCGTCTAGACCGTGACCATAAGCGCGATGCCGACCTTTTGTCCAACGAGGAAGTGTCGAGGCTGTCGAAGGAGGTCGCAGCGGCCATCCTCGAGGAGCTCACCAGCTGGGCCAAGTGCACGCGTTCCGAGAGGTGGCCGCTCAAATGCGCCCGAAACGCAGTGGGCCCCAGATGCGTCTTCAGTGGAAGCGCCCGAGGGGATCACACGGCAAGACTGCAGGGATCATCTGGCGCCGCGCGGCGCTGAGGGGCTACCGTGGCGTGGGCGCCGGGGCCCTGGAGACGTTCGCTGGGGCAGCGAAGCGGGGGTCTCAGCGCCTTCCATCCTCAGAGGCGGCCCGTCGCCCCGGCTGGGTGCGCGTCGCCGTTGACGCCCAGATGGCATTCCTGCAAGGCATGACCTATGCAGAGATGCAGGAGCAAGGCGTTCCACTTCGAGAGGTGAACTTAACCCTGCCACCTGGCAGCGCAGCAATCCTGAGGCAGGTGACCGGCTACGAGAGCTTCGACGAGCGGACCGGGCGTCCGCGCTGCGTCGAGCCGTTCACGGGCAGCAAGAGGGCGCGCCCCGAGCCTCCTCCGCGAAGCTCGCCCGAGCCACGCGCTCACCTGAGCGCGGCGCGAGGCCTGCCAGGAGGGGCCCCGAGCTTGGTCAAGCGCGCGACGTCCTGCAGCTGCGCTGTTGGCGCATCGGAGTTAGTGCTCGCGCTGTCCAAGCATGTTGTCCGATCTGAAGATCGCTGGGCACAGGGAGGACGTCGACCAGCTGATTAGCCACTCGGAGCGTCTTCGGCAAGATGATGGGTTACCGCGACGACTCCACTGACTGCGGAGCGCACCGGCACCGCAGTGCCGATGGCACCGCGACGCTCGACCAGGACGAGCGCATCGACGCTCTGATACCGATCAGGTCAAGGCCGAGGCTGGCGCGCAGGCTGGAGATCAGCTCCCCGACCTCTTCGTCTCCTTCGTGGGAGCAGCGGCCCGCGCTCTGCTCGCCCGGCGCCGCGTCGCAGCGTGCGTCGTCGCCCTGCAGGGGGCCGAGATCAAGCTGCTCATCCGACGCGCGATGATTTCGATGTTCTGGCCACGCAGAAGATCAAGGCACGCATTGCATTTCCATCCATGGAGTGCGCTGGCCAGCTCAGCGCGCGCAGCGGCGGGTCACTCAAGAGGGAGACGGAGTGAGGGTGCGGCGTGAGAAGGGCCGTGTGCGCGCGTCTCGGCATGTGCCGCCGCGCTGGCAATCGGGCGTGTCACCTGATTGGCGCAGCGAGCCGATCGCACGAGCTTCTGTGCAGATTCTCGTTCGGCCCCGAGCTGCCCCCGCCATGAAGCGCAGCAGATGGTCTGCAGGCGCGCCTCCTCGCGTTGTGCGAGATGGCGCGCGGCCCCGCCTCTGCCGAGCAGATCAGGAGGCTGGGGGGGGGGGGGGCGCGATCCCTGCTGACCTCGTCGCAGACGGCGCGTCCGTCTTCGGCGCCCTGCCCGCAGGCCTGGCCTGGCGGCCGCCCGAGAACAGCATGACTGGCCACCTGCGGTGATTGGCCGACCAGCTTTGCACCAGTCGGATCAACGACTTGGACTTGCGCGACGCCCAGGGCGCGCGGGCCGACCCCGCGTCAAGGGGCAGCGTGGGCCGAGAGGTAATTCTCGACGTAATGGGCCCGCAATGGGCCACGCCGCGGTCAAGTTCAGAGACGAGAAGCTGAAGATGGCCGCCCCCAGTTCACAGCGTAGCTCACTCACGCAGAAATGAGGATATTATTCTTGTGTGTGTGTGTCACGAGGTCACGCAGAGTCGGAAGCCGGATATATTTCGAAGGGCCGCATTGGCCCGCTGGGGGTGGGATGCGAGCTGTATTTCCATGAGCCGCATTGGCCCACTGGGGTGGGGTGCGCGCTCCAACGCGCGCGGGCATCCGCATGTGAGATTGACGAACAGAGCGATCATGTGAGTGGGCTTGCGCGGACTGTGTCCAGGGAGTTCGCGGTTGCTTTGGCGGTGCTCCTTACTAGTCTCGCAGTCTGCATGTCGGGGGATAGATTGGCCTGCTTCGGCTAGACCCAGGGGCTCTGGCGGGAGTACTTCCATCCTTTCCGCTGGCGCCGTAAGATATTTTTGCGGCTGGCGCCGCGGGGGGCCAAAATGCCCTTAGGGTGGAGCGGAGGCCGCCAACCCAGGGACCTGTCGAACTCAGGTGATCGTTTCCCTTCGCGGCCAGGCGCATTTTTTATGAGGAGGGTGGTCAGTGGGGCCCTTGTTGTATCTGTCTGTTTGTGTAAAGCACGACGGACTCGTTCGAACACCAGACTCGAACGGTAGGTCGTGCCTTGCCCCCTTCTCACCTTGTCATTGCCACTGCCGTGTTGGATCTCGTGGATCCTGTCTGTCGCGCCCGTTTTACACGCTTTACATATGAATACTTGCTTTACCCGCTATACATCGTTCTACCGTTTCCCCTTACTGCGAATGTCACCATCCACATGCCCCTTTCTCGAAACCGCGGCATGGGCGGCCAAAACTCTGCATCCTTACCGCGCATCCTTATGTTGCCGCGCGCTTCACGGCGACAGTCCGCGAAAGGCGCCCCCCCCCCCCCCATCAGACGTCCAGCGTTCCATTTTTTCCGACGCGTGGGCCCCCGGAGGGTTAGGCAACTTCCTCAGGGCCGGCATCCCCGAATAGGTGATCGATTGCAGATGCGATTTGCCCCCGAATTGGTTGTTCCGTCAAGTCCACGCAAATTCGATGGAATAATTTACACATGTGCTGAACCGTCTACGTTTTTTCCCGTAGATTCGACGGAAAACCAAGCTTGGAGTAAATGCGCTCGGTAGTCAATCCCCCCGTCGAAGCCCGGCTCGTTTTTTGACGGCCCTGGGCCCCGCTAGCGGCCGGGCTGCATACCAAACAGCTAAACGCTTGCCGCTGCCATTTTTTCGGGGCCTGGGACCTCTGGCCGCTCGGGCCAGGGGCGCCTTTGGGAGCTCCCGATCCAGCGATCCCTACGACGTGATGGCCCAGATGCTCCAGCAGTGGGCGACGAGATCTACACCTTCGGGGAACAGGCAGTGGCTTAACATAGATATTCGAAGGTCCGCGCGGGTTTCTCGGATCGGCGCTGGAGCCCCCTGGCGGCGCCTCTGGCGCCGCCCCTCGCGCGCTCCCTGCGCCAGGGAGGGTTTCCAGTGCCGATCCAGGAGATCCGCGCGGACCTCAGAGTTCCTGTGTTCATGTCATCATTTGTTTCCCATGCACGTGCAGTCAAGACGCGCAAACAAGGATCGCTACGGGCGCAGGAGGGGCTCCTATTCTCGGGCCGTTCCGTGCAGTATTTCGTGGACCCCCCCTTCGTGGCCGCGGCTCGCAGTGGCCAGAAGAGCCCATCCCCTCCTCACTTTGCGTTCCTTATGCTGGCACGCTGACTGTACCCGCTGCCCCTGGCCAGGCCAGGCCCACCTCGGGTCCAAGCGCGGTGCATACAGTCGGACCGAGTTCTAAGATCCAGGTCGTTTCGCGGAGGGTACCCTCGTGTTCTTCGTGCTTGCTGCCTGCTCCTGTGCACCCCATGGGGGGTACCCGTGGATGTGTCGTGCGTTTTGGCCGGCGGGGGTCCGCGTCCTTGCAGGATGTCCTTCTGGCCTCGGTCCGAGTGTACGTCTGCCTGGCCGAGCCAGGAGGTCGCACGCGCCGCTCCTCCCTCTCCAGCGCCTCCGCTGGAGGGGAGCGACGGCGGCCCGCTGCCTGCCAGAGAGAGAGAGAGCGGCGGCCCGTGCACCGCAGCTCCGGCACTGGGGCGGGACGCTCCCCGCTGCTCTCTGGGCTGGCAGGGCGTCGTCGTCGCCGTGGGAGGCGTGCGTTCCTCCTCGGAGGGGGACAGGGACAGAGAGTACCGATACGGCTGCCCTTCGCCCCTTTTCCCCTTTTTCGGCCCCCCGCGCGGCCCTCGCCGCCACCGCTGGATTGGCTTCGAAATTCTGCTCAGAGCGCACCCCAGGAGAGGTCCCGGGAGTACCGGTACCATTTGGTTTCCCCACCTCCTTCCGCCTTCTTCCTCCTTATCCGCCTCCTCCTTCTCCTCCGTCTCCTCCACCTCCGCCTCCTCCTCCGCCTCCGTCTCCGCCTCCTCCTCCTCCTCCGCCTCTTCCCCCTCCGCCGCCAACTCCTCCTCCTGGTCCCAGGAGGGACCCCCAGGGGCACTGGCAATGTGCAAATCTCGTCACTCGACGGCAGCGCGCGCCCCGCTGCCCGCACGCCGCCTCCCGCGCGGGCGCCGCCCGCGGGCAGCTCGCGCCCGGGGCCGCCGGCCTCAAGGAGGAGCGCCACCAGACTGCAGGCAGAGAGGAGGGAGGAGGAGGAGGAGGAGGAGGAGGAGGAGGAGGAGGAGGAGGAGGAGGAGGAGGAGGAGGAGGAGGAGGGGAGGAGGAGGAGGAGGGGGAGGAAGGGGGAGGTTAGGGAGGGGGAGGAGGAGGGGGAAGAGGAAGGCGGAGGAGGGAGGCGGAGAGAAAGAGGAGGGGGAGGAGAGGATGAGGAGGAGGAGTGGGAGGAGGCGGAGGCGGAGGCGGAGGCGGAGGCGGAGGAGGAGGTGGAGGTGGAGGAGGAGAAGGAGAATGAGGAGGAGGAGGAGGAGGAGGAGGAGGAGGAGGAGGAGGAAGGACCAGGAGGCGGAAGAGGAGAAGAATGTGATGGAGGAGGAAAAGTAGGAGGAGGAGGAGGAGGAGGAGGAGGAGGAGGAGGAGAGGGGAGATGAGGAGAGGAGGAGGAGGTGATGAAGGATGAGGAGGAGGAGGAGGAGGAGGAGGAGGAGGAGGAGGAGGAGGAGGAGGAGGAGGAGGAGGAGGAGGAGGAGGAGGAGGAGGAGGAGGAGGAGGAGGAGGAGGGAGGAGGGAGGAGGAGGAGGAGGAGGAGGAGGAGGAGGAGGAGGCGAAGGAGGAGGCGGAGGAGGAGGAGGAGGAGGAGGAGGAGGAGGAGGGGGAGGGGGAGGCGGAGGAGGAGGTCGAAACAACGGTGGCCCTCCCTGACGTTTTCCGTTCCCAGCAGAGCCCAGGCATCGGGCGTCTCGAGAAAATGAGACGGGCTTTGTAAACCATTTTCGGCCCTTTGGGCCCTTACGGGGCCTTGGGACTCCTCCTCCCTGCTCCCCCTTGCTCCTCCTCCCTTTGCTGCTGCTGCTCCTCCTCCTCCTCCTCCTCCTCCTCCTCCTCCCTGCGCCTCCTCCCCCCCTCCTCCCCTGAGAGCCGACGTTGCGAAAAAAATGCAGCATCGCAAAAAGCCACTACCCGAGCCGAGGACGCCATCTCTCCGCGGCATTGTCGAGCCGAATCGATGTGTGTTGGTCCCGGGGACCGAGACCGACGGAAGCGCCTGGTGTGCAAAGATAGCTGCGCCCGGATCTCAGGGGATGGCGGCAGTGGGCGCGGTTCTCCCCCCTTGGAGTGAGCGACCTGGTGGTTAGTCCGATGATGGCTGCTGCCGTCTGCTTGCGCAGCTAGAGGCTAATTATCCAAACACTCCCAGCCACTATTACGTAATCTACATGGTGCCTGGCCGATTACGCAGGCGGTGGGAAATCGTGTTTCGGAAGTTCATATTTTGATGGTTCACACTCCGTCTTTTCGTTTCCTCCTGCTCCTCCCCGTTACCTCCTCCTCCTCCACTGTTTGTCAACCCTGTCGTTGCCCGCGTAAAACGGGAACAGTGAGCGCGACGCCACGGCGCTGGAGGACAAGGCGTGCGTGTGCTTGTGCATTTTATGCTGCCCTGCGCACACCGTGCCGTTTCTGCCCAGCGGCCCGCTACGCCGCTTGACACCGCTCGGCTTCTCGGAGGTGCATTGGCAAAGAAGGAGGCCCTGACGCGGGTGATGTCTCAGCCGGGCGCTTTGAAACAGTTTGAATGCCAGCCCTGGTGGTCTGATTTGATGGGGGTCTGCTTGGAGCTGTCTTGGAGGGTTCCGCGGGGTCTGGGCAAAAGGTCGCCCTTCAATGGCTACTTAAGTGGGGGTCTAAAACTCTTCGTCTGGGACGATTGTAACCCCCTCCCTTTTGTTACACAATTTTGAGCATCCGTGGACGACAGAGACAGGAAAAGGGGGAGGGTGCAGAGGGAGAGGCGAGACGAAGCGAAGAGTCGAGGAGGGGGGAGGAGGGGAGGAGGAGAAGGCGACGAGGCGAAGCGACGAGACGAAGAGGCGAGCGAAGTCGGATCTTCGAATCCCCCCTCTGAAAGCGCAGCAGGCCAGCAGTGAGGGCTCGATGATGATGACGATGCTGATGATGCTCATGAGGATGATGAGGATGATGAGGATGAGGGCGATGATGAGGATGATGATTAGGATGGAGATGATGATGATGCTGATGATGATGATGATGATGAGAATAGTGATGATAATGATGATGGTGATGATGATGATGCTCATGCTGATGATGATGATGATGATGATGATGATGATCATGCTGACGATGATGATGAGGGTGATGCGGATGATGATAATGATGATGCTGATGGTGATGCTGATAATGATCGTGATGATCATGACGACGATGATGGCGATGACGATGATGATACTGGTGATTGTGAGGATGATGATGATAATGATGATGCTGATGGTGATGTTGATAATGATCGTGATGATCATGACGACGATGATGGCGATGACGATGATGATACTGATGATTGTGAGGATGAGGATGATGATAATGATGATGCTGGCGATGATATGATGATGCCGATGATGGCGATGATACTGATGACGATAATGATGATGAGAGTGATGATGGTTATGTTCATGATGACGATGATGATGGTGGTGATGATGATGACAATGGTAATGATGATGATGATGATGATGATGATGATGATGATGATGATGATGATGATGATGATGATGATGATGATGGTGATGTTGATGATGACGATGATGATGTCGATGATGATCATGCTGATGATGATGCTGACGATGATGATGCGGATGTTGATGATGATTATAATGGTGATTATGATGCTGATCATGGTGCTCATGATGATCCAGATGATCATGACGACGATGATGGTGATGACGATGATGAAGATGATGCTGATGATGGTGAGGATGCGGATGAGGATGAGGATGAGGACGATGATGATGCTGATGATGATGGCGATGATGGCAACGACGATGAGGCTTTCGATGGTTGTTTTTGTGATGGCGATGCTGATGATGATGATGATGATGATGATGCCGATGATTATAATGATGATGATGTTGATGATGATGATGATGGTGACGATGATGCTGATGATGATGGCGATGCTGATGATGGTGGTGGTGATGATGATGATGCTGTTGATGATGAAGATGATGATGTTGATGATTATGATGATGCTGACGATGTTGATGATGATGATTATCATGATGACACTGATGATGATGATGATGCTGATGATGACGATGATGACGATGCTGATGATGCTGATGACGGTGATGCTGATGATGATGATGATGAGGACGATGATGAGGAACGGTGTTGGCTGATGGCTGATGGCTGATGGCGTATGAGGATGTGGATTTAGATGATAATGATGATGCTGATGATGATGCTGATGATGCTGCTTCTGATGATGCTGATGATTATGATGATGCAGATGGTGATGCTGATGATGTTGCTGATACTGATGATGATGATGATGATGATGACGATGATGCTGATGATGATGATGATGATGATGATGATGATGATGATGATGGTGCAGATGTGGATGCTGATGCTGATGCTGATGACGATGGTGATGATGGCAACGACGATGACGATGTCGATGGTTGTAGTTGTGATGACTGTGATGATGAAGGTGATGCCGATGATGGTGATGATGATTACGACGACGACGATGATGATGCTGATGCTGATGATGATGATGATGATGATGGTGATGATGACGGTGAAGCTGATGATGGCGATGATGATGATGATGATGATGATGATGCTGATGCTGGTGAGGATGAGGATGCTGATGATGATTGTGTACGATGATGATGCTGATGATGCTTACGATTATGATGATGACGATGATGATTACGACGATGATGATGATGATGATGATGATGATGATGATGATGATGATGATGATGATGATGATGATGATGCTGATGATGATGATGATGATGATGATGATGATGGTGGTGCTGATGTGGATGATGATTGTGATGATGAGGCTGATGGTGGTGCTGATTGTTGTGCTGCTGCTGATGATGATGAGGATGATGCTGATATTGATAATGGTGATGGTGATGATGTTGCTGATTGTGA